TAAAAAATAACAATGAAGATGAAGGGCCTTTTTCAGGGTATGTCTCTGGTGTCACAATAGACAACGTGGATTGCAGTGTGCAGATATAAGTCAATGAGTCTTAGCAAGCTAGTCGCAGACCCATGAGATTCAGGCAGATTTCTGGCTGCAAGCCCCAAGTTGAGCTCCCTGTCCTCCTGTAGGGTTGAACTCTGCAGAGTTGTATTGCAGGTTCCAGCTGCCCTTCCCCTGAAGATAGTCCCGGTCCTGATGGGAGATGAAGATGACTCCAACTTACCCAGCACAGTGGTCTGGTGGTCCGGTGTCCTCTGCGTCTTTTTAGTGTGCAACCAAGTGGCTGTACAGAGGAGCTGGCGGGTGGGGGCGGGGGGGGGTGTCCAGTGGATTGCTGCCGGGGCGAGGGCTGATTCGGAGAGTTCTGTGTGACTCGCGACATTGCTACAGTGTCCGCAGACATGCCTGTCTGCAGTGGGCTGATGACCAGGTTTTTAAAATATCTTTCTTTTAATTATTCCTTCTATGTATTTTTTTTTCCAGCTTCAATTATTCTGTCACTTCTGCAAGTAAACATTGCCCAGTATTTATTTCTGGGTTATTGCTTATGCTTATTTACTAGGGCCTTAACTATTATGTTTAAAATAGTTAACTCTTAAGTAAACATCTCTACTATGGTTCATTTCCTTGAATTTGAATTTCTAACCATCTGGTGGAAATTTCCATTAGCACATCTCACTAGCTTCAACTTAATGTTTATAAACCAAACCTTTCCAAATTAGCCAACTTGTTCTGACTTATTTTTAGGCAGGATTCCATGCACAGTTTGTTTCTAAGCCTTATCACATTGGTCACTAGTAGCTTCCTGTCACATAGCCAGTTAGCAACAAAATTTGATGAGGTTTTGGAAAGGATAGGTTTAGGAAAATTCTAGTTTCAGTGAGAAGAGTAGTCTTAAAAAAAGACTACTGGTGTTGGCCTGGTGTGGTGGCACATGCCTATAATCCCAGCACCTGGGAGGTTGAGGCAAGGAGGTTTGCTGTGATTTTGAGGCCAGCTTGAACAAATGTGAGTCCCTATCTCAAAAAACAAAACAAAACAAAACAAAACAAAAAAACCCCAGACACCCTCCCCTCAAGAAAACCCCAAAATGGTGCTGGAGCCAGGTGCATGCCTGTAATCCCAGCCACTCAGGAGGGTTTCTTTAATCTTTTTTTTTTTTTTTTTGGTATTGGGGATCAAACTCGGGACCTTGCACTTGCAAGGTAGGCAGTGGAACCACTGAGCTAAATCCCCAGCTGAGGAGGTTTTTTTGGTGGTGGTACTGGGGATTGAGCCCAGTACCTTTGCACTGGCCTACATCCCCGAACCAGGTTTTAATGTTTTATTTTGAGACAGGGTCTCACTAAGCTTCTACAATGGCCAGGCTTGACTCAAACTTATTATCCTTCTGCTTCAGCATCCCAGAGTGCTGGGATTATAGGTTTGTGCCATGCCTGGTTTCTAGCTACTCTGGAGGTTGAGGCAGGAGGATCAAGAATTAAGAGATCAGCCTGGACAATTTATTGAGACCCTGTCTTAAAATGAAAAGGGCTAGGGATATAGCTCAGTGGTGTTGGACAACTCTGGGTTCTATCTCCAGTACCACCACCAAAAAAAAATAAAAGTGCCTAAATAATGTTATATTCATATACTGAAAAAATAAATTGAACCTGACTTTTACCTTCTACACTCTAAAAATTAACCTTAAATGGCTCATAGGCTTAAATTGAGAGAGGAAACTTAAAACTTTCTGAAAGAAAACAGAAGAACATAGTGTGCCAGGCAAAGATTTCTTTGATGACACAAAAAGCTCAAACAATAAACTGATTAAAAACTGTCAAAAAATTGATAAATTGGCCTTGATAAAAATGAAATACTTTTACTGTTAAGACAATATCATTAAGAAAACTTACAAACCACAACCTGGGAGAAAGTATTTAAAAACATATTTGATAGTGGATTTGTATAAAGTAAATATCAAGATATCTTGTAATCTAGTGAGAAGAAAACAATGTAATTATGAAAATGGGCAGAATATTTGAATAGGCACTTAGCCAATGATTATATGTATGAGTATATAAATGGTAAATAAGCACATGAAGACATGCTCAACAGCATAGTCATTAGAGAAATGCAAATTAAAACCATATAGAGCTGGGTGTGGTGGTGCATACATGTATTCCCAACACGGGAAGGCTGAGGCAGGAGGATTGCAAGTTTGAGCTCAGCCTGGGCAATTTAGCAATTTAGCAAGACTGTCTTTTTAAATTTTTTTTGGTACTGGGGAACAAACTCGGATCCTTTCAAGACTCTCTTAAAAAATGAAATGGGCTAGTGATATATCTCAGGGCAAAGGCCCTGGGTTCAGACTCCAGTACCATAAGAACCTAAACAAAACAAAAATCACACAGAGATATTATTACATACCCAGTAGAATAGCCAAGATCAAAAAGAATGAAAATAGCAAGCTTTGGTGAGATTGTATAGAAATTGTAACCCTCATGCATTGCTGATTGGAATATAAAATGATATAGCCAGTATACTTTTAGGAATGTCCTCAATATATTAAACATAGAATTTATATGACCCAACAATTTTGCTAGATATATGTCAAAGAGAATTGAAAACATGTTCACACAAAAACCTGTATATGAAAGTTCATAACAACATCATTCATAAATAGCCAAAATGGAAACAACCCAAATGTTTGTATGCCATTTCCATGTGATAGAGTACAATTTAGCAGTAAAAAACCAACAAACTACTTACTAATAGATGTCTACATAGATATGTACTTACTGATAGATGACTACAAATATAAATCTCAGAAAAAGCAGAAGAAGCCAGATAAAACTACATATTATATATCATCCATTTATAGGAAATTACCAGATTAGGCAAAGCTGTAGAGATGGAAGAGAGATAGTTTCCCAAGTTGAGGATGGGAGTAAGGAATGACTGCAAGGGGGTATGAGGGAACTTCTTGGGATGATTGAAATATTATAAAATATGACTGTGATGACACTTGAACAACTATGAATTTATTAAAACTCATTGGAGCCACTCACTAAAATGAAGGAATTTTTTAGTATATAGATTATTTCTCAGTTAAAATGCAGTTTATGAGTTTTAAAATTCTAGGGCTTATTAACACCTTCTTTTTTTTTTGGGACTGGGGATCAAATTTGAGTCCTTGCATTTGCGCAGCAGGTTGCTAAACCACTGAGCTAAATCCCCGGCCCTAGGGCTTATTAACAAAAGGAATTCCACGTTGATAATAAACCAGTAAATGGGATGAACAAAATGACTCTTGTTTACCGTAGAATGAAAGTGCTGACTGGTAGAATGAAAGTGCTAAATGTGTAGAGAGTGGTGGAATTAGAAAACTAGCATTTTGCAGCCATCTAGAATCAGATTGGACCAACCAAGAGTTGCCAATGTAGAGCTGGGCATAGTAGCACATGCCTGTGATCCTAACCTTCAGGAGGCTGAGGCAGGATGATCCAGAGTTTAGGGCCAGACTGGGCTGCATAGCTAGTTCATGTCTGGCCTGGACCGGACTGAGACTCTGTCTCAAAAGAAAAAAAAAAAAGGGAATTGCCAATCTAAATGTAGGGACACATGTTGATTAGGAGTAGAGTATTTTCATAGTCTAAAAATATCCCCAAACAGACTGCTTTCTTGTAACAAGAGTTCAGAAGAAATCAGACAACATCTTTACTAGGCGATTCAGTAATTACTTCACTAGTGAAATATGTCTCTCTGCTGGTGACACCTTGAGAATGACATAGCTAAGTGTAGTATTCATGGTAAGAATGTTTAACCTGAATTTAGTCATTAGCAAACATCAGGCAAACCTCAGATGAGGGATATTCTGTTAAAAAGGGTGGTTAGTGGATGGGTTGTATTAAAATATTATTAATGTCATGAGAGACAAAGGAAGGTTTTGGAGATGTTCCAAATTAAAAGCCAAAGAGACATAGAATAGTAAACTGCAATACCTAAACTAGACTGTGTCCTGAGCTGGAGAGAGATAGAAAGAGGTACTGTATGAGCCATTATTGGGTCAATTGACATATTGGAACTTGTACAATAGATTAGTTTAAAAAACCAGTGTTTCTAAAGTAGATAATTATGTTGCAATTATGTAAGAAGATGACTCAGTTCTACTTTTAGATCCCCAGAGGTGCTGAGGATCCAACCCAGGCCTCTTCCTGCTAAGGAAGCACTGTATTACTCAACTACATTCTCAGCCCATTCTTAAGAAATGCACACTGGAGAGTTTAGGGTAAAGGGCTATGAGATATGTAATTCACCCTCTGAATAATTTTAGAAAAACTATGTATGTATATACAGAGAATGGCCTTGTGGGCACAAGCAAAAATAAGGCAGGTGGAGCAAAATCTTACCAATAAGGAATTAATAAATAGTAGGTTGTGTTCTTGGTATTATTTTTGTAATCTTTCTGTAAATTAGAAATTATCTCCATATAATCAAATTATTTATCTTTGAAAAAATACTTTGGCTCAAGCATTAAAATTTTTAAAAAATTTCTTTAAAGTATGTCGTAGGCTTTTCTGGGGAGTTGGGAGAGGAATCAGGCAGGCATATTTATGATGATTATCATAATCAGTTAGATTATTTAATGAATTATTTAATGAATCATTTAAAAAAGCATTCTTGAAATCTACATTTGTGAATTAAGATAGTATATTTTGTACTGTTTGCTTTTCAGAAATAAGTTTGAAGTTCTCAGTTTGATAAGTGGAATTGAATAGTAAATGTGGACTAAACCTTTATTTTATTTTTGGTACCAGGGATCGAACTCAGGGTCGTTGTGCCTGGGCAGCAGGCGGCGAAACCACCGAGCTAAATCCCTGGCCCTAAACCTTTATTTTAATATTTAGGCTAAAAATCCTGCAATATATTTGTATTCATTGAAGAAGTTTCTTTTTTCCCCCCAGAAGCTTCAAAATGGATGATAATTTGGATAAATTTATTGAAGAGCGTAAAGCCAAACTGGCCAAAGATAAAGCAGAACTGGAACGTGACCCACCTTACATGGAAATGAAGGTAAAGTTAATAATTTAGTTCTAACATATTTTTGTTAAAATTGTTTCTATGTAAATGTGAAACCTCTTCTTGTATAAGTAAGAATCTTCTATTTCATACTTTAATTTGGCCATGGTATCATTCTGACTCTTGAAAACGTGATTCCAGGTAAGATTTTGGTGATTATGAATGCAGTTTTTCTTTTTCATTCTTTTAGGCAAGGTCTCACTATGTAGTTCTGGCTGACCTTGAATTCACTGTGTACCCCAGGCTGGCTTTGAACTTGTGGTGATCCTCCTGCCTCAGCCTTCTGAGTGCTGGGATTACAAATATGTACCACCATGCCTGGCTAAGTACAGTTTTTCTTTTGTGATGTAATATATCACAATATTTCTTCTCTTGGATTGGAGTTTTAATGAATGATTATGTGCTCCACAAAATGTTTAGGAAACCAGTTCTTGTACAAAGAACTTCCAGAATAAAAACCAAAACAGAAGTAAAGGCAAATTTTCATATTCTGTGATATAAAGTTAGATTATTTAATGAATCATTTAAAAAAGCGTTCTTGAAATCTACATATGTGAATTAAGATAGTATATTTTGTAGTTTGCTTTTCAGAATATAAATTTGTTAATATGATTTTTTCTGAAAACATTGTCTAGAAAGTTTAAGTTTTTCTCATTTTGACAAGTGATTTGTCCGTTTGGCAAATGCTGAGAATACTGCGCTAATCTAGACACATGTGACTTCATCTCTCTTGTATGTAATGAGGGTACAGCATGTAGATTAGTCTGTGCCATATGTTGGGTTGTAACAAGAGTTAACCATATATATTAGTTTGGCCAAATTATTTCTGGCTCACCTGTTGTCCATGTCTCATCTGGTTTAGCATTTGTCCTGGACAAAGGTATCTGGTTGAAATGATAATTTGGACACTAATTAAGAGGTAATTTTACTTACATAGCTACTATTTATTGAGTGCTAGCTATGGACAAGACATAGTTTTAAAGGTTATATTTCAAAGTAATCTATGAGATAAGTACTGTTGTAATTTTCCGGATGACTAAACTGAGATATGGGGAGGTAAGTACAATATAAGAGGTGATCTAGTCGGTGGAGCCAGGCTTTGGTCCTTGGTAACCTGACTCCGGTGCTTGTTTTCTCAGCCACCTTACTAGGTTGCCTTCATTCCACAAAAATCCTCCATAAAAATAATAACAAGGGGTTATGCAAAGGTCTTTGTATGTATCGTTTCATTTAGTCATAACATGCGTGAGTGGGAGAATTTTGTTTTGTTTAATATATCAAAAAAAGTGAAGGGCTGGGGATTTAGCTCAGTGACACTGTGCCTGCCTCGAAAGTGCAAGGTCCTGACTTTGATCCAAGGTACCAAAAACAAACCAAACAAACAAACAAACAAACAAACAGTGAAGCTCAACAGTGGTAGATTCAGGATTAAAAGCTTCACTGAGCTCTGAAGTCTTTGCTCTTAATCACTGTAGTATTGAGAGCTAGTTGCACAGTGTTTGGAGTTATATAGTTTGGAGTGCATAAATTTAAATATAGGTTTATTATCTGTAATATTAAGTAGCACATAATTCTTTTTTTGTTTTTTGTGGTGCTGAAAAACATGAATAATAACCTTTATGTCTATTCCAGAGTCACCTGCTCATTGAGGCTTTGTAGTTCCTCCCATAGCTTTTCTGGGCCTCTTAACCTTGTTTTTACATTTTTTTCCATAATCCATCCCTGTCACTATATATCACAGAGTCTAATTGTGTATTCTTATTGTGTTTCTCCCCAGCAGTTTTTAGGTTTTATAATGGCAGAATTCTCTCTCTCTCTCTCTCTCTCTCTCTCTCTCTCTCTCTCTCTCTCTCTCTCAAATGCTTAGGATTTACTAGGAAATCAGTGAATATTTCTTGATAAGTGAATAAGTTAAATACTAGAATATTAAGGGCTAGGGATGTAGGTCAGTGGGTAGAATGCTTGTCTGCTATGTGTTAAACCCTAGGTTTCAGTCCCAGTACCACCCTACATTAGAATATTTATTATAGTATTTAAATATCTTTGGTTAATTTCTCACACCTTACACTAAATCTCTTCTAGAATGTACCATGTAATTTTGTCAAGCTGTTTAATGGAAGTTTTGAGGTGAATTGCATACTTTGTTAGATTTTTTTTCCCCCTGATTTGTAAATATTATGTCTTTCAGGGAAAGACATCAGAGAAGCTTTCTGAAAATAGTAAAATATTAATCTCCATGGCTAAGGAAAACATACCACCAAACAGTCAACAAACCAGGGGATCTTTAGGTATGTCATGAGATGAGCTAAATTGTACTGCAAATGTGGTAATAAAGATAATTTTTTAAAAAGTAAAAAAATGTGCTTAGTTGATCTTGAGAGAAACTCTTAGGCTGTTGTGAAAAAAATTTCTCTTGTCAGAAAAAGTATTTCTTTGGAATCCCACTAATTTTCCTCTCTGGAATCTTATATAAGACAATATGGTCTATATTGTACCTATTTTTGTATGATATTGATTTGGTTACAGTTTATGGAAATCATAGCAGTAAGTACATGTAATGTAATTAAAAATTAATTGAAAAATTTGAATGGAATTTGTTGTGTGTGTATGTGAGAGAGAAAGAAACTTATTTGTTGACTAAAAATGGTGGATTTGCTTTGTTTAAAAAATCAAAGGAATATACTTAAGGGATACTAATGTTATTTGATAAAAGTGTCCTTTAAATATTGATGACTATATTGTAAGAAAGTTAAAGCTACAGATATACAGAGTTTTTAGTATATGTACTGTTGAAGCAAGCACTATAGCCATATAGATTTTTGATTATGATTTGGTATGAAAATACTTGAAAATATTGAAAACAGTATTTGAAAAGTTTTACCACATTTTGGCTTATTGGAAAGTATACTTTTTTTGCGATACTGGGGATCGAACTCAGGATCGAACTTGTGCTTCCGAGGCAGGCAGCGATGCCACTGAACTAAATCACTGGCCCTGGAAAGTATGCTTTTTTTTTTAATTCTTAAGTTCTTTTATTGGTACATTTTAGGTATACAATACGTTTACATTTATCATTGGGTGTTTGTACCTGTACATGATGTATCTTGATTCTTATTTTTTCCCCATTCCCTGTGCACCCTTCACCCCCTCCACCCTTCCCTATTTACATAGACTTTGTTTCCATTTTTTTTTCTTTTCTCATAATTTTTCCTTTCCCTCTTTCCTTTCCCCTTCCCCTCCCTTCACCTCCTACCTCTTTGGACCTTTTTTCCTATTTCAAATTATCAATTATTCATTTAAATCATTTTAACCCTTATTTACACTTTCAGTTTCTCACGCTAGAGAAACTGTTTGGTATTTACACATGTGTGTCCTATTTATTTCACTTAAGAGTATGGCCTCAATATGCATTCATTTAGCTATAAATTGTTACACCCAGCGAGAGAGAAACCAGAGACCGATATTAAATCCACACGGGAGTTTATTACCGGCTGGGACTGAGCCGAGCATCGGACTGGAGCCCGGACTGGGGGGAGACAAACATGTTTTATACACCTTTGAGGCCAACAGTCTCTAAGTCCCCCTATGGGATAGAACTAGCAAAGCAAACAAAAGGTACAGAAGGGGAATGTCCTGCTGTTAGAACATTTGTAAAACAATACTTGATTAATTGTTGTTTCTAAAAGACTTTCTAAGGAAGGGGAGGAGGTTTCTAAGCTTCCTCCTTTCAAGTTCGTCTAAAGGGCAGGCAGGTGCGTCATTCAGCAGCAATATGGAGTCTGTTTTGCTTACTTGGGGCCTTCATAAATGACTCTAGTTTCTCATTCTTTGTGGCTGAGTAGTACTCCATTTTATAAAAAAACCACATCTTTATCCGGTTGGAAAGTATACTTTTTAAAAAAGAAAACTTATGAATATTTATAATGTATGTTTTGTGAATTATGATGACTGAAACTTTTTCAAAAAGCAAAAATTAGACAAGTCCAATTGATTCTAATGCCTAAATCTCAAACGAGTCCACTTTTCTCTAACTCCACTGGCATTCTTTCATGTAGGGCTTCATGTCTCTCATTCAGATTTTTTCAGTAGCTTCCTGTTGTTTTTGATTTATAGTTTAGCCTACTCTACTGTACTTCTCTTTTGTACTTTTTTGATATCTTTCCAAAAAACAAATCTGATCATGTTAGTCTCTGCTGCAAACCTTTCAGTGGCTTCATGTTTCCATTTAATTTCACCATTTCATTACTTTTAGATTGGGTTGGCCCTTCCTACCATTTCCTCCTGTGGCATTGGTTCTCCCTAAAGAATAGTTTTGAATTTGTTCAGCTCTCCGTTTTATCACAGAGTCATGCTAGCTTACCTGCTATTGTATTTCCACTATTTAACACTTCTTGGAACTTTGGTGCATGGCGAAGATGTTTTGAGTGACTTACTTTTTCAGTATTCTCATTTCAAAAATACAGTCAATTCTCCTGGGCATGTAGAATTTAGTTTTCATGGAATTTTTATTGCTGACTGAAACTAATTATCCTTGAAGCACGTAAAATCTTACTAAAGAATAACATATGGGTCGACTAATTTTATAACTTAAAAGCATTCAGTTATTTACCTTTTTCCTGAATTATTGTGAATTTAAAATTAGGTGAAATACATAGTTTTTGACTCTGGGAAAAATATAATTTGGCAACTGAGAGTTTTCCTTAAGTGGTTTCATCTATGACTGATGAAAAACTGGTCTGATATAGGCCAATTTGAAATTATCTTTTGTCTTAAAACTGTGACAGACATGAATAAGTAAGCATGGTAATAATAATATATAAATCAGAAATAATCATTTTAGCTAATGAAAACAGTATTGATAACATATAACTCTCATGTAACATTGTATTTTCATGATTTTATAAATTTATTTCTGTTACATCCTGTTGATATACATGGATACCATCCATGTGGCTCATTTTTTCACAATTTTACCCCCCACGAAAGAATTTGAAGTAACATTACAGTGACTTTTGATACCAATTACCTGGACTTGAACCAAGACTTAGGACACAGTTCTATATGAGACTGCTCTCACTTTGGATCACCAGCTGCAAGTTTAGAGATTCTCAGATCATCTTCACTTCTTGCCAGCTGGTAAAATATTTGGGGCCATCTGCTACCCCACTTGGGTTCAGTAATTACCATGAATGACTACAGAACTCAGACTTATGATTATAGTTTTACTTTACTACAAGTATGCAAAGCAGAACCAGTTAAAGAGAGAATCACATAGGGCAAGGTGTGGGAGTCCACATGTGAATTTCTGATGGCCTTAGGGGTGCATCACTCTCTTGGCACATTAGTGTGTGACAGTCTACAGAGCATTCCAAGCAGGCTCACTTAGAGTTTCAGTGGTCACAGTTTTTATTGGGGTTTCTTGGTGTAAGATGATTGAATTGTTGCTCATTGGCTCAATTTTTAGGCCTTATACTCTCTCCTTAGGTCTGGTTGATGTCACATGGGCCAAAGGCCCCACTGTCTAATCCTGTGGTTGGTCTTTCTGCATGTTCAGCCTCCATCTGGGTCATCTCTTTATATAAGCTCTCTAGGAGCTTCCCATAACTTAACTTCATATAAACTATTAGGTAAGGGCGAGAGAACCACCATGAATAACACAGACATCACAGACCAATAGTCTTCATTAATACGGATACCAGAATCCTCAAGAAAATATTAGCATATTTAATCTAGCAACATATAAAAATAATTATTCACTATTGGCTAAGAGATTTATTCCAGGATTGAAAGTTTAGTATTAACACCTGAAAATTAATGTAATGTACTACATAGAGTTAAGGACATAATCATCTCAATAGATCCAGAAAAAGCATTGGACAAAATCCAGGGTGTGTTCAGGATTAAAAACTATTAAGAAACTAAGAACAGAAGAGATCCTTTATTTGTCAAAAAAGGACAAATATAAAATACTTAGTGCCAATATCATCATGATGGCTTATGACTATATGCTTTCCTTCTAAGAGCAGGAACAAGGCAAGAATGTCTGCTTCTACCACTTTTAGTCAATATTCCACAGAGGGTTTTAGCCAGAATAATGAGAGAAGAAAAAAGCCATCAAGGCTAGAGAGGAGTAATGAAATTATATTTGTAGATAACATGATTCTGTTTGTAGAAAATCTTAAGGAGTTCACAAAAATTATTAAATGAATTAAGTTCACTTGATATGAGATCAATATCCCAAAATGAGTGGTATTTCTATGATCCCACTCATGATAGAATAAAATATAGTAAAATACTTGACTAAATTTAATTAAACAAAGTACAAGACTTACACATAGAAAACATAAATACTAATCATGGCTGAGGGAAATTAAAGAATGTGTAAGTAATTGGGGAGGCAGTCTATGTTTGTGGATTAGAAGTCTCTCAATTGCCAAAGCATAGAAAGATGTGCATAGCGTACTACATGATAAGAAAGCAAACAATGTTCAAATTTCAAATTGCTCTTGATAAGCGTTATTTATTTATTTATTTAGCCTTTTTTCCCCCCAGGACCTTATGTATGTTAGCTAGGTCTTGCTAAATTGCTCAGGCTGGCATTAAACTTGTGATCTTCCTGCCTCAGTCTCCGAGTGGCTGGGATTACAGTTTTAGGCTGTCACGCCTGGCTTTGTTTTATTTATTTGTTTATTTTCTGCAGTACTAAAGTTCGAACTCAGAGCCTTTATACTTAGCTGCATCACCAGCCCTTTTTAATTTTTTTTTTTTTTTTTTGACTTGTGAGGCGGAGTCTTGCTAAGTTGCCATGTTACCCAGGCTGGGCTTGAATTTGTGACCTTTGCCTCCCAGAGTGCTGGGATTGTACAGGTGTGTACTATCACACCTGGCTATTTATTTTTTTTGACAAAGAAAACTTTTTGATTCTCAGTGTTTCTAATGTTTCAAATTTCATTGTACTAGATATTAGTTTCACTATTTAAAAATTACCCTGTGTATTTATAGCAGTAGAGTTTCTAATGTTTTGTTAAAAACTCATAAAGGTGTCAAAAAAATTGTAGATTTCTCCTTGATCTTTAAAGATTGCTGCTGCTTCAGCTTGCCCGGTTATTCATATGGTTCTGCAGTACCATGCAAAATAAGCAGTACTGTGCATCATGTTCAAAGTGGCTGTATTCCAGGAATGCAAGATTCATTTAATATTTGAAAGTCAGTATAATTTATCATCTTAAAGAAATAAAAGCAAACAAATTATATAATTATTGATAAATGTAGAAAACAGCATTTGATG